GTTTCAGTTCACCGACTGGCCTGAACAAGGTGTGCCAAAATCAGGAGAGGGCTTCATTGATTTCATTGGCCAAGTACATAAAACAAAAGAGCAGTTCGGCCAAGATGGACCTATCTCGGTCCACTGTAGGTAAGCGATGAAACGGTATAACCCAAAAAAACATATTACTCACTTTCGCATCAACAGCACAAGAAACACAGGCGTCTTAACATCATTACAGTGACAAAGTCACAACAAATCAAATAAACATCTAATTATCATACTGGTACACTGTTCTGATTTAGAACAAACTTTTTTTTTTTGTAATGCCCTAGTTTCTCAGGCCTGTTAATTTCTCTTATACAGCGCAGGAGTTGGTAGAACTGGAGTTTTCATCACCCTCAGCATAGTCTTGGAACGAATGAGATACGAGGGCGTAGTAGACATCTTTCAGACAGTGAAAATGCTACGGACACAGAGACCAGCTATGGTGCAGACAGAGGTGAGACTTTTCAGTTTCTACAACACGTGAAAAGAAAACAACTCACACTATAGTGAGGTAGTAATGCTACTTTAGGTTTTCTGACACTGTAGACTACACATGGAATCAGTGTTACTGAATTGACAGTATACTCCAAGTGCCTGACAGGTCTGTTAAGATTCCAAGTATCCTCTTGAGCCAGACCGATTAACTAAAGCAAGCCTCTGTTAAAGTCTATGAATAATTTAGTAGCTGAGCCAGTTTAGAGTAGCCTTGTCTTCTCTCCAATGCAAGGTCATCTCCTCATTTCAGAATAATTGGCTAATGCTTTTTCACATACCTATTTGCTTTTTTAGGTTTTGGAAACGCATTTTTGTGTTAAAAATGTGCGACAATGTTATACCTGGCAACTTTCCAATACAAAATATGTTCTCGTTCTATGAAAACGCCAGCTGACAAATTTCATGCATTTCAAGAGTCACCATTAATAGACAATGGACCAAAGAGGGTGCAAAGGACTCACTATCAAGAAACAGTTCACACTAGTCTTCTCTTCTTTGTTTATAGGATCAATACCAGTTCTGCTACAGAGCTGGCCTGGAATACCTGGGAAGCTTTGATCACTATGCAACGTAAAAGATCCAGTACTGGGAGGAAAAGCAGAGAGCCCTTTGGAAAGAAACCCCAGCGAGCCTCTCTTCTGAGCCATAAATTCCTGCTTGAGAAAGTACTCCTTAACTCCTGCTAACAACTCATTAAGTGTTGGATGTGCAACATGACTTATCAAAAAATGAAAAAGATGATTACTGGAGGACCAAGTATTTCCCAACCCCAATAAGACCTCACTTTGACACAGAGTGAGTGAATCCTGACTGTTGAAGCATCATACAGAATTACCTTTTCTTTGGCTTCAAGGATTTATTTTGGGGCTCATAACACTGAACAACACCAACACAACAAAAAAGTAAATGAACAATAATGACATCGCCAGAAATGCATCAGTGATTATGAACCATTACGAGAAGCACTGGAGGCACACAGAATTGTGGGGGAAGAACTCGATGCACATTGTAAAGAAAAAAAAAAAACTAAAAACTTTCACAATCACACTGACAACCCATCGAAAAAGACGACAATGCTTGGTCCACAACAGCAGGACAGACTCCAAGTAATAACGAATAAACACCCCTTTCCTGCCACAGTGTTCATCATCTAAATTTTGGGAGAGGGCAAAGTGAAAATGATCTATGAAATAAATAAATAAAATTATTGATTTAGTTTTTTAGTACTTTATTATACAGCTGATGTGCTTTTTTTGAACTGTGTGAATTTCCTTTTTTACACAAATTTATCACTTGGAATAAAGTGATAAAACGTATTTACGTAAAAGTAATTTTTTTTAAAGCTGTAGAACTGTTCTGACATGTGCTATTTTGCAGAGAATCTTCTTTTTGTTGTTCCATTTTTAGTTTTTGCCTTCATTTTATTTTTAGTGCACAGAACGGGATTCACACTACCAAAATTTTACTTTGTTCAAGGCTATCGATTATCTTAGTTCTTCCATGTTGCAATGATGTTGAGAGAACCTGATGAATTGGATAAAATATATGAATATATAAAAGGATATAATACAGATTGTTAAATGTATTTCAATATATATATTAAAGTATAAATATAATATTTTAAATATAAAAGTACATGATTTATGAGTAAAAAGTATTCAAAAATATGGGTCGTCTATGGAAGCTTCCAAATTGAGAGTTGTGTGCTATGGGGGAAATGGAGAGATTTTTCACTGGAATGCACATCAGTAGGACAAAACTGTATTCTGATTCAGTGCATCTTTTCTTGTGCAATAAATGTGTGTGGTTTTTTTTTTTTTTTTTTTTTTTTTTTTTTTTTTTGGGGGGTTTTATTTTGTTTTTTCCACTCATGACATTGTTGTTCCCCTCACAAGTGAGGTGTGGGAGTAGGAATGTCAGGTGCCAGTCAAAGAATCACTGGTGCATTTTTCAAGCTCTCATGCAGTCTGTAATTAGAGGCACAGCCGCACTCACCGCTCCACACAATAGGGCAAGGTACAAAGTCGTCACCTTCTTGTGGTTCTCTAAAGCATTCAGCAGCAATGACGTTTTCCATTTTGCATTTAGAGTGCCTTATATTTATGCCTGTTTTTATAACATTTCATTTAACATATTAACGTATCCTTTGAATAATCTAGGCATTTAGTATAAATGTAACTGTATAGTTTACCTTTAGTATTCATTTGTCACTAAATATTATATATGCAACTAAGAACATTTCAAAGCTCAGTGTATTTTTCATTTCTGTGGCCTTATTGTGGCTGAGTGAATTAGAATAAAAAACACTTTTTAAATCACTGACCTCAAAAGAAAACATTCAAGAAAACAAACAAAAAAAGAAAAAGCTACAACAAATATTTAAATTTTTCAGACAGAGCCAGGGTTGAGATTGCAGAACATTGGTCTCAGAACTAAACAGGATGAAGTAATATTCCATCAGTACATGTCAAGGCCCAACATAAAGTTAGAGCTTTTTATTTATTCTCTCTATGGTCACAATTTACAAGAGTAAAGTAGAGCTTGTTCATATTTGAAAATGGTCCATCAGCTACAGTAAAAATGGACTTGTCATAAACAACATACAGGTCATCACTGAAGGGTTTCCTTCAGGCCTTAGGTTTAGATTACAGACTCCATGCGTGTTGCTACAGAGGAAGTACAAACACAATATCAGTTCTGTTATCCTGACAATCCCAAACTGTGTGGCATCATGTTTTTACGACAACAGTTACAGACATTATATATATATCAGTCTTTATGCTGAGCAGATTCTTTAACTTCTCCGTCCCCTCTCCGATGGCTGTGTGGATGTGCATTCCAGGTGCTTTCTTTCCCTTGTTAACTAAAGCAGCTACAGGTTTTATTTTTAGTTGACTGATTAACTGTTTACTTTTGTCATAAATTTGGGATATAAAAATTGATTTTATTTAAATTCACGGTGGCTAATGTTGCATTACGTTCAAGTTTCAGAACACTTTCTCTCGTCTCAGTTTTTCCTTGTTTACTGATTTCCACATGCACGGTGAAACATTGCAGAATGGCCAAAGCTGGCCTGGTAGGAAGATTTGCACTTTCTCTATCTTTGTACTATGCACTGCCCTATTGATTCTAAACCCAATAATATATTACTTGAACCCATCTATAAAAAGATCTCCTTAAACGTTCACTTTGTGTGTATGTAAATAACACAAAAAAGGTATCAACTCCTGAAAAAGACAAAAAAAAAAATTAAGTCTGTGGCGAAAAAGAGCATCCATTCCGATGCCATGGTTACTCCAGCAGATGACTTCAGAAAATCTGTCCCCCCAACCATCTGTTCTTGTGGCTTTGCCATTCAAGCTTGGAGTGTCATCAACAGAAATAAACGTTGTGTTCTCTGCTCTCTCTATCTATCTCTTGTCTGGATGCATAGACTGAAAAATGAAATAATGAAATTATATTAAAAAGGCTTGTTAAAAAGATCATACAATTACCTCTGATTAGTTGTAAGCGTAAACTTTTTCTTGGATGAAAGGAGTGCTTTTTATTTTCTTACTTAGGTTACATTGGTGGCGAAAGAAGTCTGTATGAAAATCAGTTCTCTTTGCTGACACAAGTTCCATTTGTTATAAATGAATTCTATTAAAAAATGTCAGTGTTATGCATCGACGTTTCACTTGTTTCCCTCCACTTCACTATGACTTGAAAAGACTGATGAAGCTATTTTACCCCGTACTGGTCCGGGTCCAACATATTATCCACTGCTCTCTCGTGAAAGGGGAAATTGAGCCTCACCACATTTGAATAGAATTCCATCGCTCTGATTTCTTCTGTCACTACTGTCAGCTACAATGAATCATCGGGGGAACCTTGAACAGATGAAGAGCACTGTTTTCTAACAGATTTTCTTCACCCTAATGAAAACTTCATGTATTGCAGTATTTCTAAATTCAAACCACAGTTCATTTAAATTGAATGCAGTTATACAACTTCAGCGCTGTACAGTTTTGCCTTTTGTTTCTGCTCATCTATTGTTTTTGTACTTGTTATCTCAATAAGAGAATAAGATGTGGAAGTGACCTAAAGTAAGGTGACAATACATGGCCAACTACAAATCTTACTAAAGAAAACTAGAGAAATGATGTGTTTAACATACGATTCCAGGTATAAACCAGACATGCACTGATCTGGATAAAGTTATTCACTAAATGCTCGTCCACAGAAGACAGTTCAGCCATGTTTTTAGTCGTTCATCTGAAGGTGCTTCTCATGGAAACGATAAGAATCTATGTTAACCAATACAGTTGACAACCAAGATTATATAAAGGTTTGCCTTTCACATGCACTTTACGCATGCAGCTGCAGCCCAAACCATATTCTTTGTACACAACTAGAGTGATTAGGGATCTGAAAGGTGCCAAAATGCAGACCTGTGCCTGAATACATCCTGGGTAGACCTGAAGCTGCTCCTGCTAATGTGCCACCTATACTAACAGTCATGTTGGAAGAATAACATTACAACACTCATGTAACAAAATGAAAAACCACCACTGTACACAAATAATTTGAAATGACGGACTGCTGGCAACAATCGTGTCTCTACCTCAGACGGGCACTGTTACGACATCTTCAGGAAGGTTTACCTGTGCATAATACATATTTATCTTTACAAGAAAAGTCACCACTACATGTTTAATTACTATATATGAAATGTGTGAACTACACTGTGTGACAGTCTATTCACAAGCTGACTGCATCCTACTGTAACAACGGCCCATAAAGATAAATTCAACACAAATCTAATGAAGTGCATTAAAGTGCCAATACCTGAAGCAAGAGAAGTGCATGAACACACACACAAAAATCATTTTTTGAACATGATTAAATTTCTTGACAGCTGGGGAGCATTTTGGTAGTCAATAACTGTTTGCCTGGAGAAGTTATTCAAATTTCACAAAACCATCCATGCAGCCAATTAGAAAACATCATCCCGCATGACAACAAATGACAGATGTTGCCAGGTATGATACGGAGCTCGAGGAACATTATTTCTCAGTCTAATATGGAAGGTTTTGATGTAGAATAACCTTTGCAAAATGTTAGTCCACAATAGCAGATCATAGCAGTGCTGAAATATGATGATTCATATCAGGAAGTACCAGACTCTGAAAGAGAATGCTGCTGTAGAGACTGTGTGACAAAAACATTTTATCCAGATTTGTCCTCCCATCCTTATGTTGATGTCCAAAGAGTATAACACAAAGATTTGAGATGCTAAAATGAAGTATCATATTACAGCAGATGCAGAACTGCTTTTGACACTTACTGCAGGAAAATGGTGCAGATTACTGCATAGCAAGAGCTACAGGGTTACTGCTTTATCTTGCTTCTGACAATTTGATGGAAATTTGCCAAAGTGAATTTAGAAATTTCCTCAGCAGTCATGTCGGTGCAGATGTCTGCTTCACACCAGACAAGAATACAACAAAATCAGGAACTCCTACTGTCGTCATATTTTTCACCGGCGACTGCACTTCAGATGTGTGGAGCAGATGTTCCATCTTTGTCTCTCAGCAGTTTCTGCAGAATTATCAAACGAACCAGCCAGTCACAACACTGTGCACAAGTCATCTCTCATTTACCCCCCCCCCCACAAAATCGACAGCTTGCCTCCTCCCCTAGTGCATATTTTCTGCATTCTAAATATGATGAAACATGTCCAAAAGTCAGCCAAGGAGCAGGAGGGCTTTTTTTGTTAGCAGTATTAAGTGGAATTCGAAAACGAGGCATTTTTCCCCTCACTTTTGAAAGAAGAAATACTTCTGTGGCCAATTCTACTGCAGCAAACCTAATTACATATCCGTCTACTCAAAGGATTCAATTATATTGACAAGTTACTTTT